CCCCCCCCCCCCCCCAAGCCCCTGCTCCCTCTCCCCTCCCTCCCTTTATCGTGCCAATTTAGCTTGTCTTTGGGTCATAAATGAAACAGACAGAAATGCACCTGTGCCTTTGCCTCCGGGAAGAATCCTGTTTAATGATGTTACATGTGTAAATGCACTGTCTCCTTCCTCGGCTGGGGGACAGTAACTGTCCCATCTCTTTCACCTCATCAGCAAACCACTGGTGGCCACATATGTACAAATTGGCAGGAGCTCCTGAATGGTAGCAGCCCGGGAGGCCTCCTCATTGCCCTAAGCATCCCCAAATCAGGACTTATTCAGTCAGGAGGGCTCAAATTTCTTAAACTCCAGCAGACCGAGGACTCCAGGCTCGGGTCAGTCTGCTCTTGGCCCCATTTTCCACCTGCTGTGGCTGCTGTTGTGACAGAAAGTGTGATCCTAGAAAACCAGTCCCATATGGCACTCTGAGCCTTTGTCTCTGCTTTGAGGTCAGACCCCTGCGTGGGCCTCAGAGGTCATCCGCATGTGGGCTTTTAAAAGTTATAGTCACGCTCAGTCATTATCCCCAAAGTATGGGGTGGCTGGGTCCACATGGGCTTTCCCCACAAGCAGAGAGCTGGGGTGTTGGGACCAAGTCATCAGTCCATCCTACTTTCCCTGATGATAAATTACCCTTCAGGGCACTTCAGGGATCCTTTCTTGCCAAAGATCCTTAATTAACATCAACTTCATCCGTCAGAGAGGGTCGAGTCAGATTAACCCACACCTAATGAATGGAGCTCCTTTCTTGATTCCGATCCAAACTGGAGTCCCTTTGCCTTGGCAAATTTACTGTATCCTCAGTAAACTAGAGGGCCCTTTGCAGGCCCCAAAAGTCATGATAACAGCTGTTTTTGAGCTTTACATTTGCATAACTTTGAGTGTCTCTCAAGAGTTCTGGGGATTCAAAAGAAATCTTTCTGTGTATGGCCAGACAGGGAAGCATCTGGCTGCTTCTCTCCCCAAAATTCAAGTTCTGCCTCCCCAAGGACCAGTTGTTCACAGGTGGTGCAAGGGCCCCCAAGTGTCTTCCAATGGGGAAAACTGTCTCTACTTGGACCCCAAATGGAAGGTGACTTTTCTCACCAAAGAGAAGGTATAGATCTCAAAAGGGTGGAAGATTGATGGCCAGGCAGTGACTAAGGTGAAAGAGTGGAACAAGGGCTCCAGACACATCGAGAGGGAAGCTGTCCCCACAGTGAGGGACTCAGCAGTCCTTGTGGGTCCACCAGAAAGAGTAAACCTGTTTAGTAATGCTTTGCATATTGACTCAGCATTTACAGGGATATTGGAGCACCTGCAGACGTGGAAACAGTAGAGAGGGATCTGATACAATAAGGGGACCCCTCAGTGAGTGGGTGTGTGGTGGAGGGCTGACTCAGGAGGGCTACGATGTTCAACCCTGCAACTTCCAAAGAAAGCTCTGCCCTTGGACGGCTCCTGGGAGACCACCTCTGAACACTTGGAATATCCTGCCTGATGAGAATGTCTTTCCCCACCTGGGGCTTTGGGCCATGCCAGATAGTCTAAGCCAAGGATGTGATTCATAGTTGGGGCCTCAGGTCACGCTGTGCTGGCTTGACCTCTGGAGCGGCTGGAGACCACGTACAGTCAGCCATGAGGGCACTTCATGTCCACATGACCAACACCTAATAAAAATCTGGACTCCATGGCTCAGATGAGCTTTCCTGGTTGATAATGGTCTGTAAATGTTGTCACACACCACTGCTGGCAGAGTAAGTGCCGTCCACAGGACCCCACTGGAGAGGACAGCGGAAGCTCGTGTCTGGGCTCTCCTGGACTCCGCCCTGTGCCTTTTACCTTTGCTGATCTGGGTCTGTGTCCTTTTGCTGTAATAAAGAGTAAATGTGAATCTAACAACTGTTCTGAGTTCCATGAGTCCTATTAGTGAATCATTGAACCTGAGCGTGCTCTTCGACCCCCAAGTATGGTGGGCACACAAGAGGAATCAAGACAAGACATCAACAAGAACAACTCTCTCCTCCTCCTTTTGAGATAAGGTTCTCATCACCTCCTACTTAGGGGGCTTGGGAGATTATCTGGATCCCATGGTACAGCAGATCTGATTAGTCACACATAACCAACTTCTAGTAAACTATACAGAGAAATCGGATGTGAATCTTCCCAGGGTACGGGTTCAGTTTTCCTCGTTTATCCTTGTGTTGCATTCCTAAAGTCCCAAGTTTAAGTCACTTTAGGTTCTAGTCAGAGTCTCAGTGCCTGGACTGGTTTGTTCCTGCTAATGTCACACCTCAACCCCATTTCTCCAGTCTCAGAATTGCTGCAAGCATCATGGGAGTTTCTTGGCCATAGATATCAGGTTTCTGTGACGTTGGGGCAGACAGGGGAGTTGGCATTACTGCATCAACTGTGAGGCCTCTAACATGTCATCTTCCACCTTCAATACCTCAAACAGATTCACAGGAGAGAAAGAAATGCTACTTCCAAAAGGGATTGCTTTCAATTAATTGATGATCTAGCTGGAGCCTGGGTGAATTCTGCAATGCAGCCAACTTGAGCCAGGGACCAGGGTGGAGAGATGCTGCCCATTGTTGTTAGGTCCCATTGCTCTTTCAAGGCCTCACACGGACTTGCAGATATTCTCAAGGCATTTTTGTTTTAAGGCTGAAAGAAAAAAAGAAGAGGAAACTGAAGGTGCTGAGAAGAAAATGCTACAGAGACATCAATTCTGACAGCAAGAGTGATGGCCCAGGCTCTTCCCGAAGGCAAGTGTGTGGCAATGCACCGGACAGGGAGTTACTCAAAGTCAATGTCAGAGAGCAGAAAGGACTTGTGCAAGACCCTCTTGCTAATTAGCAGCAAAGTTGAGTCGGGAGCAGCCCTCATTTCTCCATTCTCTGCCCAGTGATGTTTTTCTAATAGCCAGCTGTATCTACCTCATCTTCCCAGTTTGCATAAAGCTAATCTAGACTCATTAATATGTTGTTCAGTAAATGTAATACATTGTTTGTGTAGAGATTTTAATGTGGCAAGGACGAAAGAAGAGCCATTCAGTTATAAGTCGCTGCAAGATTTCCTATCCCCTCTCCCCACAGCAGGTTAAGGGATTTCTATCTTTGACTACTGAGCCCCCTACCTCCCCTCTGCAGATGCTTGGCTTTTGTGCTGCAGAATAAAGGCAACGATAGAAAGAGAAGGCAGAAGTGGGGCGATGGATTTGCACAAGAATTAAGGGAGCTATGTTTGAGAGAGAAGAAAGCATAGAGGCAAAAGGAAGAGAAAATAAACAAGAGGAGGGATGTGGAAATAGAGGAGAGCCAGAAAGTTTGATTTTAGGAGTGTTAGTGAGTGATCCGTTGGAAAATGAAGCTTGGATAGAGTCTTTGAGACGGTAGCTGTGGGAAGCGAGAGCTAATGGAGGGCAAGAAGAAGAGGAAGCGTTTCTAAGAAGTGTTATCATGCATCCACTTGATGTTCTTTAAGACCCACAAGGAAGGATTGGGTGGCTAAACTGTTCGTTTGTTTTAATGTAAAACATTGCCAAGACTGGGCCATAGAACACCCAGCTTATATTTGGGGTACATTAAGCAGGGATTTTTCACAGAGTTCAGTATAGTTCCATGACTTTTAGAAGGCCAGAATCCCTTAGACCGGATAGTCCAGGTGGATGGCACAATAAAATGGCCAAACCATTGGTTTTGGGACCCGACAGACTAGATCAGCCACTTTTGTCTGCAAAAGTGGGAGAAAGAATAAAGCTGATGTCTGGCACCCCTGAGAGTAGATGGGGCTCTGACGCCACCAGGATGAGGAGAGAGGTACCATACACCCCGCTTCCAGCACCTCATGCTGCCTTCTTTCCTTGAATTATTTGTATCCATTTTGCTTTGGGCAGGAATTTGAGTGTTTACACGGGGTTTGTCTTCTGTTTGATTTTTCTTTGTTTGTTTGTCTTTCTAGCTCACGTGGGACTCAGAGAGGAGAAGCAAGTTGCTCAAGATCACACAGAAAGCAGCATTGCTTCGTCAGGATGACTCCTGCTTTTTTTTTCTATACCTTATTGCAAACATCAAACTGTTCGGTGAAGGGGAATCAGACATACTCTAGACTCTTTTTGTCTAGAATTAACGACGAACTAGATGAGCTCCACCTCTCTCTACTGGCTCCTTGCTGAGGCGGGAAAATCTCTCAGAGTCCTAGAACTCTTGCATATAATGCATTCATCGCTAAGTTACAACATAGTCAAGCTGTGTACTTACTGCGTGAGTGGGACAACCTTTTCACCCTCTGACAGATGTATGTTGCATTCTTCAGAAACCAGGAATAGTATTCAAGACAGTACCTAAAGATTTAGATCAGAGTTGCGAGCAATCACTATTTTTTGTGGCCGTTAGAAGACAATCAGACTAAAAAAGTCACAATGGCCAAGTATTCAGCGCAAAGAACCCACCTGCCATCTTTATAGGGCGTGGGAGGAGAAGTAGCAAATGAGGCAGAGTAGGAGAACGCTCAGAATTTAGCGTCAACAAGACTTATTTTTAGTCCCAGCATCATCACTTACTAGAATGTATGACTTCAGGCTGATTTCTTAATTCTCTGGGCCTTCATCTTTCCACATATAAACAAAAGGCAATAATAGAACCTACACTCATAGGTTCTCATAGCAGTAAATGAGATAACGTTTGCAAAGTTCCTGAACAGTGCCAGACTTATTATAATAGGTGCTCAATAAATGATGACGTTCATTTATTTGGTTTTTTGTGTGAAATGGAGTAAGAGGGCAGTGCTGTTATAGTTGACATTGCAAAAAATACTTTGCAAAATAATATCCTGCTCTTGGCTGTGGCTGCAAGGATTCCTTCAAAGGACTTCAGTGAGAAGAGCACTGATCACATTATTAGGAAGAAGAGTTTTCAGTGCGGGCTGTGTCACCAGCTCAGTGTGGGAGTCTGGGAATTTGCTTCCCTTTTAATCCCTCACCTGATGCATGAGGAGGTTGGGCTAAACACTGTCTAATTTCTCTTCCATCTCTATCATTCTGTGATGCTAGCACGCTCTGGGGAGTGACTAACTTCTCAAGTAAAGCTGGCTGTAAAGATTTCCCAGGTTCTATCACATTCTATTTACAAGACACTGCAAAACTGAGGAAACCGAGGCACAGAGATGAACCGATTTGCCCAGACATCCTGAATTAACCCAAGTAAGCCACTCCATGCCAGAACACATTGCCATTCTAGTAGACAACAAGACCAAGATGAGTCAAGGCCCAGCTGGGAAAAAACAAACCCAGGTGGTTCTAGAGAGCGAATTTAATACTGGGAACTAAATATAAAGGGATTAGAAGAACTCTAACCTAAAAAGAGATTAGAAAGAACCAACAGGGGAAATATTGTTCAATGTGAAATACAGGGGGAGAAAATTTCTGGCTTCTCCCCTCTACTGTCCTCCGATCTCCTGCCAATATCTCCCATTGGATAAACAGGAAGCTGGCTGGCAAGGTATTCTGGGAAATGTAGTATGTACCAGTCAACCCCCTTCATTACAGAGCAGATTAGAGAAAGAGCAGGGAATGGATCTGAGAGTCGAGTGGAGTGATGAATACCACCAAGGCTACTTTTGCTGTGAGCCTGTGACCTTATATTCTCAAGATGACATCTCAAAAGCTTGCTCAACAGCTGACATGGCCACTAGGAATTTTGTTGCCACAGCTACAACATGTCAAGGATGCTACAGGTGGAATTCAAGCTTGGCTAGGAGAGTGAACAAGAGAGCAGTGCACCAACAACCACAAGTGCATCCTCATCAGTCAGCAACCACTGAGTGCAGCTTTCCAGGCTGTGCAGGACCAATTAGAGAAATGATTTCATTTCATTTCAATTTCTTCTCACCACAATCTGGCAACATAGGCAAGAAGGCTGCTACCCTTCTACATGAATGGTGCTCCTGGAATTGGGCAACACGTGGCTGGGGATGTAGACGGGGCTATATCCATTTTGAAGATAAACTGAAATTCAGATAGGTTAAATGACTAGCCCACATAGCTTATAAGTGTCAGAGCCTAACTTTAAACCCAGGTCTGCTTGGTTTCAACCCCACTCTCCTACAGCATGCTAAGCCACTTCCTAGCTTTGAGGGCCTTGGTTCCGTGGCCTAGTCCCATTTCCCTCTCTGCTGACTTGACAGTGTGCAGCTTGACAAGATTTTTTTTCTAACAACCACAAAAAACTGCTTCCAAAACACAGAGGCTATCAAACTACCCTGGGGACTGAGCTCAATCTGTTCAGAATGAAGGAGGGAATGGAAAGCCGGGAGAAGCAACTGGAGCTGTGGAAAAAATCAAAACCTTGCAAGCGCTAACCAGGTGCTTGAAAGGACAAAGTGTTCCTGAATAGGGACATACGCCAAGGACAGTGGCCTCCATCTTTGCTGCAGCCACATTGAACGTCTTGGTGGTCCTAAGATGTTCCAGGCTGCCTCTCACTCTCCATCTTTGCATACGCTCTTCCTTTTGCCTGGAGTGGCCTCTCCCATTTTACGCTTGGAAAACTCCTGCTCCTCCATCAAGCCCTATTAGTCATTTCCTCTGGGGTCCACAGCCCATATTCGGAATCTGCTGTTGCACTTGTCATACCTCCCTGTGATTTGTCTCTTTACATGGCCAACTTCCCCACTAAACCATGATGTTTTGATCACAGGGGCTGTCTTATTCAACAAACATACTGAGTAATGCCAGCCTCCCACTCTGTTATTCTTAGCCCATATTCAACATGTACTATGAGTTTATAGAAAAATTCATTATTAAGTTAAAATACAGGGAAAAGAAAAAATAAGCTCAGGTTTACAGAGGCTTCCTTTCTCTAAATTTAAACTCAAAACTTCTTTCTGGAAACTTCTGCCTTCCCTGTTTATCCTTCTAGCCAATATTTGCAATATAGATTTTTCAAGGTAATTTTTTTTCCCAAGGGGATGAGATTAATAGGTTTTGCCTGTGTGCATGACTTGGTTCTATCACTTACTATGTCATATTTTAACTTGTGTTTATGACCATTTCCTCCTTTCTGTTATGATGTCCTCAGGTTCTGGGTTTACTTCCGGTTCCCCTCTCTATTCCTGTGGCTCAGCACAGAGCATAACTGATAGACGGTGGAGACTCAAAACACGTTGTTGATTTAAAGAGTTAGTGGAAGAAGGTTCTGATAGTGGGCTGATCCTGTAAGAAAGTATTGTTGCAAAAGTTTTCTCTTCTGTAGCATCAGCCCGTGCAGTGGAGAAATGCCTTCACTTTGCTTGCTGTCACCCTCAGTCTATGGATCTTTCTTATTTTCCTCTCCAGGTGGAACATCCACACTGATTGAGGGACCAAGACCAGGGCCAGAAAAGGGGGATGGAAAAAGGCTGCAAACCTGAGCTTGGGGCTCAGAGCCAGTGGATGATGGAGATTTGAAAAGCTGAAGGATCACGAGTAGATTCTGAAAATAACCTTAAAGATCTGAGAGATTGGCCCCAGGCCACTGGAGCAGAAGTCTTCCTCCACGTGGCTTGGTTCTGGGTCTACAACCAAGAACAAATCCCAGAAGAAAAGATGGTATGTCTGCACTCCAGGGCAGGGGATAATGTCGACACCTAGACCTTCTTAATAGAAGATGGACGCTGCCTTCTTATTTTCTTTTGACAATCTTCTCATTTGGCTGGCAAATGACTGCTAGGGGTTTGTGAAAGACCTAGACTTTAGATGGACACGTTCTCTAATTATTTTCTTCTCGCAAATCTCACCAGGCTGAGGGCATTAGGGCTCAGGGACCACTCAAAGTTCTCTGTGATCATTCCACCATATGTGACACAACTCAGTTCAACTCAACTCAACTTGATTAGACTTGACTCAACTTGACTCAACTGAACTTCCTGTGTCAAGCAAGTCCTGCACTTGGTTCTGGGGACCCAGAAATGAAAGAGGTTTCATTCTGGCTCTCGAAGAGGTGACAGTCTAGTAAAGGACTTACTGGAGAGACCACTCTTTGAGGGACACCTGTCACCTGTCTGTGGGTTATTTAGCACCTGGCCACCTTGTGACCTGAAAAGAATCCACACAGAACGAGAAGCCCCTAAATACCGGACGTGAAAAGCAGCAGCTGGCCCAGGTTACCTCATGGCCTCCATCCTGGGGTCTGTCCTCTGGCTCATGCAGAGACATTGTTGGAAAAAGCGGCACAGCTCCATCAGACAAGGGTTGAGCTTCTGGATGACCAGGGTGAGAGGAGCAGCTGTCATGGCCTCCTCTTTGGGGAATGGCTGAGGACACCCTAGAAAATGTAATCCCAGACCATTAAAATCAACAAGAGTTTAGCAAACTTCTTCCCTGTGAGGCACTGTGCTAGGTGCTTCCAGTCCTGCCCCTGATCTCAGGGACCTCTGAGACAGACAGGCAAACACAGTGCTGCTACGCCATTGCCGGGGAAAGCTGCTGAGTAGGTTCCAAGAGACAAGTGGAGAGAGGTGGGGATCTAGTTCCTGAAGGAAATCAGAGATGGTTCACTGAGGAGGAAATATTAAACAAGGATCTGAAACAGCGTACGGAAATAGATCAGGTGGAGACATTTCCAGTGTAAGAGACAGAGCACATGATGACTCAGCATCATGCAAGGGAATGGTTTGCTGATGGGAAAATGGAGAGTAACTTGATGGTACAGAGGGTACGGGATGTGTGTGCATGTGTGTGCAAGGACATATGTGTGCATGTGTATGTGTGAACGTGTGCATGTGTGTGTGTGCGTGAATGGGTATATGCCTGTGCGTATGTGTACACACATGGGTATATGTGGTTTGCATGGCTGTCCATGGGTATATGTATGTGCATGTGTGTGTGACTGTGTATATGGGGGTGGATATGTGTCACCTTAGGTGACTGGGAGGATTAAATGAGACAATTTATACAAAGCATATTGCAAAGTTCCTGGTATGGAATAAACAATAAATCATAACTTTTAATATTGATTTATTCATTAAAACTTTATCGAGCATCCACTGCATGCCAGGCAGGCTAATTGACACTAGAGCTACAGTAATGAATAAGAAGGAAAAGAGACTTCCTCCCACAGAGCTCGCCTTCTAGTGACCTGAAGTTTATATTAGGATATTGATAATAATCTTCCAACAAAGAATCACTAGTCAATATCAAGAAAAATGATCTAAAACCTGGAAATATGCAAAAAGAACTACAGGGCGTCCTTCTGGTGCAATTCTGGGTGTTGTATAGCAGACTCTGTGGGGAGTATCTTGTTTTATGGGGGGGTGAGCCTTTAATTGACTTATTGAGTAGGTGGTTTTACAATTCTGAAGGGGTGGAGGTTAACTGATAGCCATGTAAATGATTCTCACGTGAGGGCAATGCAAAGAATTCCTGTCCATAGCGATGTAAATGAATGAAGGTGCAATTGATTTCTGTCCAGTAAAAAAAAAAAAAGAGTTTATTGCTGGAAGATGTCAATCAGCAAATTCATTTCAAAATTCCTTTGACCTACTATATAAATCCCTATTTCTCAAACTTCATTGAACCAATCCCAACATCTCCCTGTTTTCCTCATTAATTCATAGTCAAATAACATCTTAGACATGTGTTTGTTTCATATTTTAATGTCATGTTTTTACTTTTTTGAAAATTAGAATTCAGCAGCTCTATATTTCTTAAAGTGGAGAAAAAGGCTCATATGGTTAGAGAAAGATCAGCAAAACATGTAGAAAAGAAACGTATTTCAAATTTTATCCTGAGTCAACTAGAACACTAAGCCCCCCCAGAACATGGGTCAATTTTCATAAATATACCATGACTTTTTTCTCTAACATTTATTCAGCAACAGCTAGGCATCAGGTACTTTCCTAAGTTCTCTACATACATTGTTTCATTGACTCCTCATAAAATCAGGCAGCTATGAGAGGCCGGTATCAGAAGTACTATTTTATGGAAGAGGATACTGAGGGTCTGAGTGATTCTGCAGTTTGATCAGTTCTACAGCAGGTAGTGACTCTGGCAAGATCGGACGCTGGAGCCTGTGCTCGTCACCACCTCCTTTACCACTCAAACAGTTAACATTCTTCAGGCTGGATTCCCATGCCCGTCCCTCCTTCCCAACCTCCCCTGTGCTTCTCCATATCAGGAAATGACACTCACTCAAACTTGGGCATGAACTTTGGTTCCCTCCTGGTACTCACTCCACCATCATCACCTTCTCTTGATTCTGTCTCCTGAATATCACTCAAGACTCCCTGTCCACATAGTCACCTCCTAGTTCCAGCCCCCATCATCTCTGGCTGTCATTAGGACAACAGTCTCCTCACCACCAGCCCTGTTCCCACTCTCCTTCCTTTAGTCTCCACTTTCCAGCCAGAAAACCTTTCTGCAACACAAATCTGATTATTACTCCTACTTGCCTCAGAAGAGATCCATACTCCTTGGTATGGCCCTGGGGATCTCACCCTTGCCAGGCTGGATAGATGGTTGGATGGGTAGATAGATGGATGGATGGGTGGATAGATGGATGGATGAGTGGATGAATGGATGCATGGATAGATGGATGGATGAACAGATGGATAGATAGATAGAGCGAGATAGCATGCGTGAGAGGGAGATAGAGCTATATAGATAGATAGACAGATGGATACAGATAAAGTTATAGACATATAGTCAACTTGTTTTTTAAAACTCAGTCTGACAACTGCCCCCATCCGCACCACTAATGTGTTTCTCTAGAACCCCTAGAAAAAAAAGGCTGTAATTTCCTTTGGTAGCATAATCACGCCTTTGTGTCTGAAAGGCCCATTCACCATTCACTGCAGGGTGAGCGTCCGGCTGAGGCAGATCTTAGGCGATATGAAAAAGGAGACTGTGCGGGCTCCAGGAATTTAATAATGCCCCGTTGACATATGACTGGATGGTCCGGGAACATTCAGGAAACTAGTATAGAAAGGCATCCAGGAGTGGGAGGGGCCCGAGGACTCCACCAGCTCTGAAAGACTCACTTTGTATCCATTTCTCTCCTATGGAAACTGGCTCAACAGAAAACAGGAGAGTGAGACATCCAAAAGATGGGGAAACGCTGCACAAACCACAGAAACTCAAAGTCCTGAGCCTCGTTCAGGAGTCCTGTGAAACCAGATAGAAGCCCAGGAAATGATTTCCTCTAGCATTCCATGAGACTCAAGCGTGCAGGGATGGGGAAGGCACGGCATCCTTTTAAATGGAATAAAAGTAAATTGCACCCAGCGAGCGGGGGTTGAATTTTGGAGTTGTCCTTTACTCCTCCCTTGCCCTCTGCCAACATCATGCTCATTATAGGAACAGCTTCCATTTGCAAAGCACACAGCACTTTTCTCAGCAGGCATTCACTCCGTAAAGCTTGATTGAATTAAGTTACATGGGGCTCTGTAGTTCCAAGTCACTTTCACACCCATTATCTTACTTAATACAAAACCTCGTGGAAAAAAGACATTTTCTGTACCCACAATAATTGTTATTATTCTCGCTTTATAGCTAAGGAAACTGAATTCTGCACATTGCGTGCTGTGGGCCACCTCGCCAGTAAATGGTAGAGCTAGGATGTGAATCTCAGCAGTCTGAATCTAAATTTACCCAACAAACTTCTTTTTATTACACTACACAACTTTGTCCAAAGCAAACAAACACAACGGGAGTGACAGGGCGCTGGTACGTACTTGACACTTGGTGGGGTCCTGGGACCAGGGCTGGCTCTTCTCCGGGGGTCACCGGCCACGGTGCAGACGGATCACCTACAAGGGGCAAGAATGGCCTCAGAAAAGTCAACATGAAATGGCCTTGGGTCCTGCACACACCAGAGAATCATGACAGTTAAGGATAAAGGATCCTTCAAATCTAGAGGGAAATTGTAGCCAAGAAAGAAGTGATTTATCCAAGATCCCAGGGCAATTTAGCAGCACGGTAAGGCTTACAAACTAGTTTTTCTTGCCTCTTTTCTTACTGGAACCCATAAAATATAATAACCAGCTTGGTCTGCCTACTGGCACCCCTGTTCTCCACGCCCCTGCCCCTAAGCTCTGTGGCAGTGGGGTTCTTTCCAGCAGCACATTCTTACCTGTCTGTGGATATTTGGGGGCCGGTGCCTTGGTTGGACTCGGAGTCTGTGTGCCAGGGGTGAGAGTTCCTGGGATGAGATGAGAGAGAGGTGAGCCCGCATGTCTTCTCAGGGCCCCTGATCGGGAGAAGAAACCCCCCGCCACCAGTCCTGCCCTAGTCAACCAATGTTGGTTATTAAGCCAGATCCCAGGTAGGGTGTTGAGGATGCAGAAACAACTAAGAAATAAAACCAACAGTGGAGACAGTCCCAGCATCAAGGAGGAGGAAATGGGCAAGTCCCATCAGGGACTATGATACAGTGTGTTGGGTGCCATTGGAAACCAGCTAATACTGGTATGAAATGATGAACCTGCACGGGAGTGTAATGGTGTTCACAGGCAGTGTCCAAGCACAGTGCTCCTGGGTGGAGAGACGAAGACAACAATATGTTCTTCATTCATCCGAGTCTTAGTGACCACCTTGGCTCTTCCTCACCCCTACAAATGGCCCATCATTTTCATGATAGAGCATGAGCTCATCTCAACAAGTCTTTTGATCATGTTCATAAAGTCCTGGTTTAAGGACCATTTTAGGACATGATTCTTGCTGTCAAGATTCTGGCCTCTGGAAAAACCAGCCAAGCAGCCTCCTTATAGGGAATGAGGGAGAGGAAGATGCAACAGGCAATTTCACTCATGTGGTTAAGTGGGAGAAAAGGAGTGAGACTGACATGCAAGATGAGCACAGAGGATGGGGACTGGGGTTTGGGCAACATCTTCTCTGAGGCAGAAGAAGCACTGTGCTTAGTGAGGAGAATGGGTTTTCCTGGCAGAGGAAAGAGCACAAGCAACAACCCGAAGAAGTGAGCAGTGGGTACTTTTTGCTGCGGCTGGAGTCTAGGGGATGACACAGAGGGGTTGGATAAGGGGTGAAGCAGGCTGCTTCTTACTTATTATGCTCCTCTGCTAGGACTGTGTGAATTAAACACTGCTTCCACTCCCTGGGGACCGCCATGTTAGTACCAGAGATGGGAAGCTTAACACATTTACAGATGACTACAGGCAGGAGACCCAACCACATGGGAAAATCTTATCATTTTCTTAGAGCAGGTCAGCATCTTCTTTGGATTCCCCTTCTGGCACTGGACTCTAAGCCCCCAAACACAAAAGGCGTCCAGTGATGCTTGCTGCCCAGGTGTGTTTCTGTGTAGTTCAGAAACTGAGCAGTCTTAACCACAACCCGAACACAGAGTTCACTTGTCTGTGATTGCTGTTGACAGGTTAACTGAACGACTACAGGATCGCAGAAGATTAGAGCTGATAGGGAGCTAGGGCAAAAGCAGGCACAAGCGCTCCTCTAGAGGATGTCCTGTTGGCCATGACCCTTTCCCCAGCACATCTCCTGAAGCTGGCCGCCGTGTTGCCACCATGGGCACGTGGGGCAGCTTAGCAGGAGCTCCTGTTGACTGAGCGGTTCCGAGGGGCTACATGCTGAGCTGAACACCTTACGGCCATCACCTACTTTAACAATCATCATAGCCACTCTGAAAGTAGGTATCGCCTCCCTCATTTCAAAGACGAGAAAACCAGAAAACCAGGACTCAGAGAGATTAAGAAAACTGCCTAAAGACACAGCCAGCGGTGGAGTGAGGATTTCAACCCTGCTTTGTCTGAAATAAAGACCAGAGCTCACAGCCTCAGGGCTGTGTTGGTGGCCGTGGTCCAGCTGGCTGAACCTAAGCCTGTTAGCTTTTATTTTTCCCTATGCAAAGATATCAGGTGTTTCACTGAATAAAGCTGTTGAAATTGCATTCCCAGACGTGTTTGTGCCATTGAGATTTTGAGCCTAAAGTCAAGACTTTATATTTACGCCCATTAAAATTCATCTGCTCCTTCCCCTCTACTTCTCAAGAAATCCAGGTAAGTCAACAAACTTTTACTGAAGGCCTCTTGTGTTTCGTGGGAACTGGGGATTAAAGACACAGGCCCTCAGGAGAGTATGGCCCAGCGGGAGGAGGGTCAAGTTCAAGGACACTAACCGCCCAGTAATGATGAGCTTTACGATCCCTTGACTGTGGTGAGCGTGGAGGCAAGGTCTCTGGCTGCAGGTATCAGAGAAAGCGATTTTAAAAAGAAATAAATCTTTTTTGTCTGATTACAGGAGTAGAAAATATGAAAATTCATGACATTGTAATGAAGAAAAATAAAAATTCTATCTACTTCCCGGGTATAGTCAAGGTTATTACGTTGTGAACATCTTTTGTCTTATTTTGTTTTGTTTTCTATTTTCTGTGTATATTTATTACACACACACACGCAAACACACACAAATACATAAAATTGGGGTCACACTTGACAATTTTTCTCCTGCCCTTTAGAGCTCAGGCCTTCCTCATAGTACATGATTATATACTGATATATATATAATTATATTTGTACAGTAACTGATGTATGTGTCACATTACATTGCGTATGCATGCTGTATATGTAACTAATGCAATAACATTCATATGTATTAACACAATGCCAAAAAGGTAGTTGAATTGTCTGGAGTGAACAATGTCGGCTTCTAGTGGTCACTTATCTAATGGACAGAGAAAGAGGAAAAAGGAGAAGAAATTGGGAAGTGGGTACATAGAAGAGAGAGGAGGTGGACGATTCCTGTGAAGAGGGAGTTTTCATTCATACATTTGTTCCTTCATTTAAAGGTAGGAAGAAAGGGGCTGAGATGAAGAGAATCATACCTGAGGTCGGGCTGGGCTGGGAAGGGCTGCCAGGTGTGTCCGCTGTCCTAGCAGGAGGCCCAGAAAGGCTCCTTGTGTTCTCGGCCTCCTGGGCCTCTGCAGAAGATGTTGGCGTGGAGGAAAGAGTTCCCCAGGGAGGCCCTCCAGGTGTTTTCTCACCGGTGGTCTGAGCCCAGGGCACGGGTAGTGTGGAAGCCCACGCCTGCCTGGTGGCTGTCACCCGTGGAGTTCTGCCCACCCTCCTGGTAGCTGCACAAGTGACAGGAACAGGGCATTTTTATGCTTTACCACTTTGATTCCGATATAAAATTGACAAGACATTGACATGTTATTAAAGGGCAAATGCAATGGGCATGCCCAATAGGGAAAATAAAACTCTACCCTGAACTGGAATAAAAGGGCCAAACTAAACTTTGTTTTCCTAACTACCAATTAAAAAAATCCCTTGGACGCTCAGACAGCCAGCAAGGGTATGTGTTTGGAGGACACTGGGCTCTCTCTCTCAAATTTAAGGAATACGTTTCTAATCATGTGACACAGTGGAAAGGTCATGCTGTCTGAGATGAGGAGACCTGGAGGGGTAAATTCTGCTCCTGCCCCTTCATGCTGTACACACTCTGGGGCAAGTCACTGAACTCTTGTTAGCTCTGTCACTTAAATGGAGGCGATGGTGACGATGATGATAGTAATAGCTATGCCTGCCGTACAGGATCAGAGGATTGCTATTAAGACAAATCTTCTCTCATGGGTCTTTGAAGCAATGGCTGCATGTTCTCAATTGTTCATTCCCATGGTAGGAATTAATATAATTTTTTTCAAGTTTTACAAAGCTAATCCCCTTGGAGGATTTAAATTCTATAAGTTCAGAACAGTTGCCATCTTTAAAATATTCAGGTTTCTCATCCAGAATACAGTATATCACTTCATTTATTTAAATATGCTTTTGAAACTCTCTTTGAAGGTTTGCAGTTTTTCTTACATAAAACCAGCTCTTTGGTTTTTGTCTTGCCACTAGCAATCCCATCTTTTTTTTCGTATTATACTGGAAAGCTTCTAATTTTTTTCTGTCTTTCTTTCTTTTTTTTTTTTTGCTGAAGAAGATTGGCCCTGCACTAACATCCATACCCATCCTCCTCTACTTTATATGTGGGATGCCTACCACAGCATGGCTTTCCAAGCGGTGCCATGTCCATACCCGGGATCTGAACTGGCGAACCCCAGGCGCCAAAGTGGAACGTACACACTTAACTGCTGCACCACCAGGCCAGCCCCTTCTAATTTTGTATAACTGTCATGATGCCGGCTATAGTATTGAGGACTTTTCTAGTTAATTCCTTTCCCTCCTTCTTATTTCCCTGTTGGCCTGACTCCTACAGTTCTTACCTCCTACGGGAAGCCCCCTCTCTGGGCTCTCCAGGACGACAGCTCTTTTTGGCTGGATCATAACTGTCAATTTAGTTGCCTATGTCTCACTTTCTAGTCTGTGAGCTCAGGAAGGAAAGGGGACTTTGATAGAGCTGGTTTTTAACAGCTAGCCTGGTGTCTTGTGTTAAATATATGTCTGGATGAGTGAATGAATGAATGAATGAACTCTGATGACTCTGGTCCATCGTGGGAGCTCGCTGAGACAGTACTGACTCTTGATGAGTTACCTCAGTTGTGTCTTATTTCCAAATGGGATAAGCACCCTTTTTGCATCTTCAGTGGCAACACCACTGATTGTGTCCACAAAGGTGATGGGGATGGAGGAAGCTATTGGCATGCCGTAAGTGGCAGCTTTTCATGCTGGCATCAAGTCATTAACATATTCTTAGCATCATTATCCATCCAGCTCAAATTCACCTAACCTTGCCGTACAGGTTGACTTCAGCATTTTGTGTAAATTTCAAGAGAGATATTGCTAAACGCTTTGCTGAAATAAAAATACCTTACTCTACAATATACTTCAATTATGTAAGATAGTCTTATCGAGAGATGCTGGGTGAAGGGTATCAGAGAACTCTATGTACTAATTTTGCAGCTTCTTGTGAGTCTTAAACTATTTCAAAATAAAAAATTATACAAATAAATGTTAGAAGGACATTATGTCGATGATATCCGCTGCATAGCTTTGTCTGTACTGAGCCCATACTGGCTCACATGGATCTCTCATTTAAGGGATGCTGAAGAAGAAAGGGGTTGGTGGAGAAGGGACAAAGGATGGATTTCGTTTATTTCTGTGAGCCCAGAGAGAACAGGAAGGAGAAACAGGACAGGAGAGGAAAGGCTGAGAAAGCCTCTTACCCAAGGCTAGGAGGGTGGGAGAGGCACTGTCCAGGGTGGCCAGGGTGCTGGCGTGAAGCTCAGGAGGCATATCTGTGTCCACGAACTGCTCTCCCTCTGAAGGAGGAGTTGTCTCTGTCCCAGGAGAGGTTCTCAGAGCAGACACTAGGGTGCTCTGGGCTTGGCTTGGGCGGCTGGTTCCTGGTAGCATTTGCTGGCTTGTGGATGTGAGCTTTGAAGTCACGGCCATCCCCGTGGTGGCTACACATGGAGGCAGACAGTCAATGGCAGCTTGAATATGCTGGACCCTTTGGATGCAAACAACTGTTGCACCATTGAAAAGTCATCGCACAGCAAATACACAGAATGCAGAGATTCAGACCTTCCTCGGAATAGTACCACATGTCATTAAAAGGAGGGTTTCTCCTTGAATGACAAGTTAAGCTAAAATATCAGTCTCTGAAAACGCTGCGTGAAGAAGTACTGTGAACAGAATGCAAAGCTGTCAGACTGAAGAGCTTCAGAGATTTGACGTGTCTCCTGAACAGAGGCTGAATCCTGGGAGAGTCCTTTGCCCACTTCACAGCCCTCAGCCCCTCCCTGGCTCTGGAACTTGTCCCTGGAAGAGGGAATAGGCTTGCTCTATGTGCCCTGTGCCTACTACTAGGAACCAGAAGTAGAATTTTGGGGAATCAGAGGCTGCCAGGGAGAAATCGCTTGCAAGACAGGCCCCGCAGAGACAGCAGGAAGGCTCAGCTCAGAGGGAGATCCACACGGTGCCCTCGGATGCTCCATGAAGGAAAAGGGGAAGAGGCCCAAGTCTTCATTGTGCCCTATCTCTCCCCTCAGGAAGGCTTAAGGGGCAGGGGCTGCCTATTAGGAAGCCAGGCTCCCACTAGCCCATAGGGTCCCTTCCTCTGGGTGGACGAACGCTGGCCTGCAGACTAGTGGGCAGAGCCTGTGTTGGATTTCAGCCCCGACTTGCCCCTTTGGCAGGTAACTCTGTGCAGGGTACAACCTGCGCAATTGCAGAAGGTGGCCCTACAGCCTCATTTTCTCACTTCTGGGCTCAGTAATACCCGCCATGTACCAGAAGCCTGGTCCTTGCTCCAAGATCAACTGGACATGGGGCTAAATGCCTCCCAATCAAACTGTCACTCAGCCAGGTGGCCAATTATCAGGCACGTCAACATTAGTGTCAACTTGTAAACACATTCTCTCTTCCCGAGCATCTGTAGTTTATTGAGGGAGCACAGACAGGGAGGCGTAATTGAAATCGGGGGTGGGCAGTTCATGGAAGGACTCTCTGAAGGAGTGAGATTGACCCAACCCTCAGGTCTGTCCTCAGAATTGGGTAGGTGAGGGGAACCCACAAGATGCCCACTTCTTCTCCTTGTCAAGCAGCCTCATTCCACACAAGTTGAGGTCCTTCCTCAGCATAAGTAAGAGGTGCCCTAAATAAATACAAAGGAAGGCAGCCCACTGAAATGGAATTGGAGATTTATTGTAAACTTCATTTTGCTCCAAGAAACACTAGTGAAGAACCTACGGTGTACAAGGCACTGTGTGAGGTGCCAAGGGGGAAGGCAGACTATGGAGCTGAAGGTGACTCAGTCTCTGCCTTCAAGTACCATTTGGTGAGGAGACATGCATATAAAGTCACCTGTGACACAATCTGGAGTAACAGAGAGTCCAAATGACGTACAAGTGCTGTGTTATAGGGGTCACAGAAGACAGAAGGCAAATTTTGATGGGGGTGGTTTTAGGAAAGAGGAGGCAGCATTTGAGCTGATGATTGACAGACAAACTGGGCTCTGAAATCTGGAAAAGTAGGGAAGGAGCTCCAGACTGAGAAAACAGCATGAGCAAAGTCGCAGGGAGGGAGACGTACGCCAGCTCCAAGAAGAAGCAGGAATTTCAAAGTCTTTTTACAGAAGATTCATGGAAAAAGAGAGCAGTTGAGGGTGGGCTTGATGACAGGGAAACATATATTACAGGCTAAAGACTTGGGGTCCTCTGCTGCTGACTTAGGAGTTCTGAGCTGTGAAAATACATAGTCCAATCATGCTAAAGACTTTCAGGGGCTCGCCGGGCGGCACAGCGGTTAAGTGCACATGTTCCGCTTCTCAGCTACCCGGAGTTCGCCGGTTCAGATCCCGGGTGCGGACACGGCACTGCTTGGCAAAAGCCATGCCGTGGTAGGCATCCCACGTATAAAGTAGAGAAAGATGGGCATGGATGTTAGCTCAGGGCCAGTCTTCCTCAGCAAAAAGAGGAGGATTGGCAGTAGTTAGCTCAGGGCTAATCTTCCTCAAAAAACAAAACAGACATTCATTCTTAGGGCAATGGATGGATATTTTAGAGAAATAAGAGACCGGGTCAAAGGTGACTGGTTGAGAGGCTATTACCGTACAAAGGTAGATGACAAGGACTTGAACTAAGACAATCACAGCAGCAGCAGATAATCTTGGAGGACCAGCCAGATTCCAGATAATTTGTTCGGCAAGAAATGACAGTTAAGCATGAAGGAAAAAGAGGATTTAAAGTTGGTTCCAAAAATGCCACCTGGTGACAGCAAAAAGGCAGGAGGATGGGTCTGTTTGCGTGTGGAGGGGTGGAGGATGGCTGGGTGGGGTCTGGGTATTACCGAGTGGCAACGTCTACAGCAGGGTCACAAATTCAAATACCTACAAAAGCCAGGTGGTTGATATGAGAAAAAAAGTGCGAGGCAATAGGGAGCAGAGAGGGCTATGGAAAAGATGAGAAAGGCATCTTTGCTAACGGGGGAATGGGGGCAGCAGCTACTCAACTGCAGTTGCTTGTTGTCACAGGTGAGGGGAAGCATCAGGGTTGCCAGATCTTCGTTTGCAAAAAAGTTGTTAAAAAATTTAGATTTAGGATTGCAAATTCAATTATTTTTTTTAAATCATGAAATCCTGATTTTAACCCAGTATACCTAAATAAAACACCTGAGGGCAGCATTCCGATTCAGTTTGCTGGGCGAGACCCTGGTCTGGAGACTCTATAGTAGGAATATGGGATGGTTACACTCACCCAGAACACTAGACACGCTGCTGGTAAATGTGTAATTGATAACGGGAGATTTCTCCGCCATCTCCCAGAAGTCAGAGAGATTCCTTCCTGTAAAAATCACACCAACAGGATCAAATCTTGGGCTCGCCTGCTGGAGTGTCGGGCTTAATTCTCAGCTCAGAGAGCTTGTCAAAGAATGGCGGGTGGTTCACCTGACTTTCCTGTCATCACGCAGATGAAGATGCAGTCGGATTCGCTCGTCTGACTCACTGTAGACAAAGCAGTACACAACACGACTTAGCAATGAGTCTGGAGCTGTTAAGTCTTTCATCAAAAGGAAAATCAAGCTGGAAATTTCCAGCTCAGGATGCTGTGGAAAATAAGGCTAACTCCATACTCTCAAGGCAGCCCTGATTTTCTGGGGGATTTTTTGGGGATGGAAGCGGGTGCAGTATAATGTAATGGCTAAGGACACAGCCTCCGGGGTGGGTTTCTAGGGTAACAACATCAGCTCTGCCACTTACTAGCGGTGTAAACATGAGTGAACTCCTTGACCTTTCTAGGACTCAGTTTACCTATCTTTAAAATGGTGAAAATTTGAATCCCACAGTCCCTTATTGGCAATTTCCAAATCCCCAAATCTCTGTCAGTTGGAAGGTTTTGTATGAGTTTGGTACCAAAACTCCTTTGGCGGCAAAACCTGACTTGACAGATGTGAGGCTGTGTATAGACTTTATCCATCCTACTTAGCATAAAGGGTCAAGCATTTGGCTAAATGAATATGAATGTATTTGATTACGGCAGGCTGCCCTGGATGCTGCTGTAGGTGTTACATCGTGTATGGTGTAGACATTCTCTTACAACTTCCGAATTCCTAAATGTACTCGTCCCTGAGGATGCTGCCTAAAGAACTGTGGATGCATGGTTGCAGGTCCCTAGTGGGATGGCTATGATGATCCAGTGAGATAATGTGTGTGAAGCTCTAAAGTATGGTGCCTAGCGGATAGGAATGCTCAGTAAATAGTCAGAATAATAATTATCGTTACTGTTAATGTGGTGCTATTATTATATGTATCAGCATAGTGACCAAAGGCATGCACTTCAGAGCCAGATCGTCTGGGTTAGAATTCTATCTCTGCAGAGTGATCTTGGTCAGGTTTCTTAACCTCTCTGTGCCACAGTTTCCTCACCTATAAAGTGGTGATAGATATAGTTGCTACCCCATGAGGTCGTAGGGAGTATCCAAAGAGGGAATACACTCAAAGCCCTTAGAAGAGTCCCTGGCGCCTAATGATAGCTGTTCTTATTTCTTTTTCTCCCTAACCCCTGCTTCTACAGCAGTTGCTCCACAGGGTAGCATGCCATCTCTCTGATGAGACCACGTGATGGGCTATTGACTAGGCCAGTGCTTTACAAGTGGGTCCCCAGGGAAATGTGAATAGCCTGGGGGTTATATGAAGCCACTTCGTAAACAAGTCCTATCTTTCTCAATTGTACATCACACATGGGCTTAGGCTCCATAGAGATATAAATCTGAATTTGGAACCAACCTTGAGCAAAATATTCAACCTCTCTGAATCTCAGTGTCCTCCTCTGTAGAAGAGGAGTACAGCGGTCCAACACAAGCTGTTCTCTTGAGTCTGCCTAGATTCCCCCAACTCCGAGCTTTCGATTCTTCCTCCAACTTTTCGGACACTCTGATGGGAAGATGGAGCTTTTAAATACGGGTGGTTGAAACTGGACCACACTTATTGTCTAGGTAAAATTTACATTAACGTTCCTGGCAGCCTGGCCTGTGGCAGGGGCTGGGGTGGTAGTCCACTAGGTTTGATTATGATTCATGATGGATGCCGAATCTCAAATTTGCCAAGCATTTTTAAGATGAACACACCTGAGAGGATGGAGGTTGACTTAAAAATCTCTGTGAGGTAGCTGGTAGAATTGCCAATGATGTCCACCAGTAGGGCTGTGAAATCTGCAAGATAGATAGAGGAGGTTTAAATATCTGAGACTTGGTTTAAATTTCAGAGACACGAGGGGAAAACTATATTGTATTTGAATTTTTCAGAGCAGATTTTGCAAGTTTGATTTAGTTCAGTGTATTGAGGAATATTAACAATCATATAGAGAAATACTACTAATTATAAAAAAAAGTCTTCATTTCAGGCAGGCAGAAAACTTTTGGATCCACCATTATAATCCCCCTTTTTTTCCCATTGCCTTGTCCCCCCAAATCCTTCTCTGCCAACACCAAATAGCTGTGAAAGGCCTTATCCTTGAATAATGGTTTTCCTAATTTATTTTTCCCTGATAATCTCATTTAATTGCTGTAGAATACCAAATCCATTGGATAGGAAGCAGCCCCACAGAGATGTGACATAAATTTACATAATTATGGATTTTCAAAATGATTTCAAATTTAGCAGTGGGTTATTAACTATGAACTATCAAAAGACACAAGGATTGTATACAAAATACAACCGGGAACCTCTCCTCCTGCCCGCCTTGTGAAGAAGGATGATGGGAGGAGAATGGGAGAATTCTACATTTCAGGCTATAAAATCTTTGTGAGCTATCTCTCTGAGCAGGGTTTGGACAAGGCCATAACGTGACGTGGGTGGGCACCACTGAGCCATGAAAGATCCTAATACACTTCCTAGCCAAACAGCTCCCACCTCCTCCACTGTTCATTTATGGTTTTCCAGGACCCAATAAATTCTTGGCTTCTAAAACAAGGGGTACGTATTCTCGGAGCCCGAAAGAGTAGTTTGTTAAAGAAGAAGCTTCTTGGGTCCCCTGGATAAACTGCCGTCATGCCTTATATAAATGCTTTTTTTTTACTCATTAATGGGATTATGAGCTTGTGTGGGGGGCAAGCTGAGTTGAAAATATAGAATCCAAATGATGGAAAGTACGGAACTCTGAGAGGTAGGAAAATGCTATATGACAACCAATGGAATGTGCCGCATGTGAGGCCAACAGGAGGTGGGCACTGCTATCTGAGCCAGGGCCACGATGTGGTCCTACCACCACTGCATGGACACATGGCTGATCTCCTGGAGGGAGATGTGGTAGCACACCTATGCAGGTGAGGACACCTGCCCATGAGGATGGCAGGCAAACTTGGGCGTCCTCCTTTCTGTCTCTTTAGACCAGTCTGTTCTTTGTCACATTGTGGAAACTGAGGAAGGGTAGTATCTCACTACCGTTTCCATCTGTTTTCTTTCTACTTCTCAAAATTCTCCTTTGTTTATTAATTCATTTGTCTAAGAAGCATTCATTGAGTGTTTGCAGTGTGCCAGACATCTGCTTGGTACCGGAGGATTGTGTAAGGCACCATCTCTGCCCACCATAAGCTGAGGTTAGTGGAAGAGAAAGCTTATAAACAGACCACTAAACAGCAATCCACTGTTGGAATCCGCTGTTCATATCGCATGGGAGATATGAGTGTGGCTCTCGAGCCAGGACACCAAGGATGCAGTCCAGGTTCTGTCCAAGTTTCAGAGATATGATGGAGCTTTCCCAGGTCCCAGAGGATGTGGCAGAGCTTGCATTCAAGCTGAGGTCTGCCTTGGGCTAAAGCTCCCACTCTTCCCAATACTCCCACCATTGCTCATGCATTCTCTTACTCAACCCATTTTGTCAACTCCCCCTTTAGAACTGCTTTCACAATCTGTTTATAGGCTTGGAATAACATCAGTTATCATTACCTCAAAGATATTCTTTGTTTTGATGAAAATTTGAATTATCCAATTTACTAGCAGCACTTATAAATGAATACTTTCTGACCACCTTCGTATAAAACTAGAAGGGAAAAACAAAACCCTTTTTGTCTATCCAATTGGTCATGATTTAAGAATGTCTCTTAGTACTCAGTGTTGGAGGGGGTGTGGAAAAACAGACACTTTCAAACATTAGCGGTGAGAGTGTCAACTTATAGAAGATTTGTAGAGGAAGTTTTAGCAATTTGAATCCCCACAAGATCGCTTGCCTGTCAGACCACAATTCCATTTCGAGGACTTCATCCTACAGTGATAACTGGGCAAGTACTCTAAGTGATTGTACACAGGTATTCATCACAGCATTGTTGACAATTGTGAAAACATGGGGAATAAACTGTTTCCATCAAGAGGAGATAAATCAAATAAATTATGGTGCATTCTTTCGATGAATACTGTGAATTCATATGAAGGATGAGGCCTATTTTTATGCATTGGGATGGGATGGTTTCTAAGACACTGATTAGCTTAAAGGTGGATTATAAAACTGCACAGAAAACATGGTAGATACTGATGGCTGCCTCCCAAATTCCATTCTCCCATCTTCCTTTAGTAAAAGAATGTGAAATTTCAGTTGGGCGTGTGGTAGTCTAACATCATTGAAAACTACATTTTTAAGCCTGCTCTGCAGGTCAGCATGGTCATGACTGGGCAATAGAACGTGAGAAGGAGCCATGTGGAAGTCTTTCCAGACTGTGAGTTTTTACAGTGAATCGGCACGCCTTCCAATGGCTTTCTCCCCTTCCTTGTAGCTGGAATGTGGATGTGGTGACAAACCACCCTGGACTATAAGAACAGGGGCAACAACTTATGGAAGGCAGAGCAACACGTTAGAAGGAGCCTGGGATCCCTAGACCGTCAAACCATCAGTGCAGCCCTGGTATGCCACCCAGTTTGTCTCATAGAAAAGCAATTCACTTCTACCTTCTATAAGCCACCTTATTTGGGAATCATTTGTTATAATAGCCTAGCCTGTATTCTAAATAATATAGAGAATGTAGATTGGGATGACTGGATAGGTGGGTAGATGGATGGGGTAGGTAGGTGGAGTAGAAAGGCTGGTTAGATAACTAGTTGACAGATGGCTTAGATAGGTGGATTAGAGGGGTGGCTTAGATCATCTTGGGTAAGGTGATTTACGGTGGATGTTGGGATATCAGGTATTTCTGATTTTTTTATTATACCTGTCCATTTTGTTATACCTGGCATTTTGACATCACAATATATTATTTTAAGATCAAGAAAATTTAAGCTATTTTCATTTAGGAAAATAGAAGAAAAATATGCAAATACAACCCCAGAGGAGGGCTATATGTCAGAGATGAGAATATTCAAAAGAAAACGATCATCGCTTCTCGGCCCTTTGGCTAAGATCAAGTGTAATATCAAAAGAAAACGATCAGGTCTGAAGATTATCCACAAACACGTCTTCCCCAAAGGTTTTGAGCAATGGCAAGATGTTGGCCTAGGTGTACAGCCTCTCTTGGTAGTGATTTGCGGGCAATCGACATCAGGCATATTGTGAGGTGTCAAACCTTGTGAAAAACTGCTGTGGCTTACCAGAGGAGCAGCATACCGTTCTATCAGTGGTAATGATCCATGGATCCATTCTTTTCGAATAATTGTTTCATGTGTGTGTAAATACGCTTTGGCTCACCAAATAGAATTACAAACTCTTTTCCAGCAGATGTGACTCTACTTTTTAAATTTTATTTTTATCTTTCATACAACCAGGGCAGGGACTCAATGCCCAGCAAAAAACTCAGCCCCCAGGAGGGGCCAATGAGAAGGTGAGAAAGGAGTGGTTATGAAGGACGTTTTTTCTCCCAAATGTAGTTTGTTGATGAGATTCAGAGCGTGAGTTAAATAAGATAACGGATATTGGGTACTCACTGCAGGGTCTGGCATACAGTACTCACTAAACAGCAATCATTATTCACTTTAAAATGTTTACAACATTTGTTCCAGAAATTCCACTCTGGGGACTCTATCCTCAGCAAATAATCTGAAGCAGTGAAAAGTTTCATGCACAAAGATGTCCAATACAGGGTTTTTTATGTTAAGAGAAACCTAGAATCCACCCCAAAGTCCGACAAGCATACTGGCTAAGAAAATGCTCGCATTCATGGGTCACACAGCCATTACAAGTATTTGCAAAGAGTTTGTAATATCACGGAGAATATTTGTAATATTAGGTTAACTGAGAAACAGAACAGGAGGCTTTTTCCGCTTTGGTTCTTGCTTCTCTTACAGTCTATTCTTTAACAAGCAGCCAGAGGGATCCTTTTAAAATCTAAGTTAGATCCTGTGCCTCCTCTGTGTGGACAATCACAATGGCTTCCTTCTTACTCAGAGTGAAAATCAAAATCCTCGCACTAGGGTATAAACTTCTACATGATCTGCAGTACCCTCCTTGCCTCTCTCCCACAATTCTGAGCTCATTTCCCATGATGCTCCAGCCACCCTGGCCTCTCCAGTCCTCACTCTGCTGCCTGGGTTTTTGCCTGGAACACTCTGTCCCCAGGTACCACGGGGCTGTCTCCTCTCCTCCTGCAGGTCACCCCTCACCTCATTGGAGAAAACTTCCCTGGCCATTCCCACCATCACTTCCTTCCTCATCCTTTCCTCTGCTTTATTGTTCTCATGGTCATGTATTAGCCAACACACCGTGTAGTTTTGGTCTATTTGTTTACTCTCCATCCCTTCCTACAGAATTTAAGGCCATTAGAGTGGGCTGGTGTGTGTGTGTGTTTGTGTGTCCACGTGGCTCAGTGTGGTATCTCCACTCCTAGAAGAGTGTCTGGCCAATAGTATGTGCTCAATAAAGAACTGTTGAATGGATGAATTAGTGGTGAAAGAGCAGTTTTCATTCCTATTTTTCAGGATTCTCTAAAATAAGGAACAAGTAATACTCTTAACTTTTAAAATAAGCAAAGTAGGATGGGAATATACTCCCACTGAAAAAAAGTCAGATAATACAAGCCCCCTTGATGAACACTCTTCCACTCTGAAACACACTCCAACCTGCTTTTCAGAGGTAATCAGCTACCCAGTGTCCGAATATGTATATATTTTTTACCAGTAACATTAGATTCTACGTATTATTTTGTAACACTCTCTAATTTAAAAAGTCATGCAAATTTTTCCATACATAGGCCAAGCCATCTGGCCACATCCATTCATTCCTGTACTGCCCCTGATTGTTTTCCAGAGTTTGATCATACGGTAGACTATTTAACCATTTTTCAGATGATGGGTATTTATATTGTTCTCAGATTTTGCTATTAAAAGAATGCTGCATGAACATTGCATTCTTGCTCCATTGAACACACATTATTTCTCTGGGGTGAAAACCAAGAAAACTTTCTGGAGCCATGAAGGTGCGCATATTTAAGCATGATCGGTATCACTATATTTTCCTATCTTAGTCTAAGGAGAAAAAAACAATTCAAACTTATCTAAAAGGGTGCAACCAAAACCAGGCAAGCTGGGAGCCTCATGGTTAGTTCCACCCACCTGACAAGTCATTGGTCCGATTGTTTAAACAGTAGCAGTACCGCATGGGGAATTTGGCTGGGTCCACCGTCTTCAGGTTAGAAACTGTGAAGAGAAATGATACACACAGCAATCCTGACGTGGCCCTGCCAGCCCGTTGCTCACCATTATCGCCACCAAGAAAAGCCGGGCAGCACTCACTGTTGTAGATGGCCACAGAAAACTTGTGGAAGGCGAAGGAACTGTATGAAGTAACGCTCAGCAAGGAGAAGAACTTCTTGCTATCTGTCAAAGATATTGAGAAAAGGAAACAGCAAATGCCTACTAACAATAATAAATAAACAATAACATAAATTAGTAAATAGATAGTAGAAATTGATAATACAGTAAACAAATAATAAAAATAAGTAACAAACAGGGGCTGGCCCAGTGGCATAGTGGTTCAATTCATGCACTCTGCTTCTGCAGCCCGGGTTTGGTTCCAGGGTGCAGACTTACACCACTCATCAGCCATGCTGTGGCGGTGACCCACATACAAAATAGAGGAAGACTGGCAACAGGTGTTAGCTCAGTGCAAATCTTCCTCAGCAAAAAAAAAACCCCAAAAAACAAGCAATAAACAAAAATACATAACAAAATAATAAAAATCAAAGATAATAAGCAAAAGCAAACCAAAAAAGGCAAAAGTACATGTCACTTGGCTATAATTCCTGATCTGCCCTTCAGCTCTGGCAATTTTATCACAGAGATTTATGATTAGAAAAGTCTACACATAGGCCATGTTAGGAACGCAGCTTGCTCTCAAAATGCTGGCAAACCTCCTACTTCATTTGGATGTTTCAATCTCGTCATGAGTTAAGTAGGACATCACATTTCCACCTGAACACGGAGAAGCTGGGACACAGAGACTTGACGTGACTTGCCCAAGACACAGAGCATCCAGAAGCAAAGTGGGGACAAGACCAAGAGGGCCTGGATTGTGGTTTAAAAACAAAGGTCACCTTTTAATGCTCTGCTCAGCATCCCATTCACCAGCTCTGTCAGGTTAAGCGCCGACAGATCCACTGACCTGGCAGGCAGCTCTGAAAGAGATTCGAAGATAATGTCACTGGCAGGCTTTTCTTGGCAGCAGACAAAGCTCCTCATTTCCGACATCCAAGTCGATGTGCCTCCTCTCCAGACATTTACTGAACTCACACCCTGTGCCGGGAACAAGGAATTCAAAGACAAAAGGCAGCTCCTGTCCTCAGCAGGTGACAGCCAATGGCATACACTGTGACAAGGGAGAGTAGATAGGAGAAATCCAGGAGAAGCACAAGGAACACTTGTTTTAGGGGGCAGTTTATCCCTGCATTTGGAGAGAGCAGAGACTGGTGGGAAATGGGAGGCCCAAGGAGCTCTCAGGAGTTCCCAGCAGCGCCGTATCTGGAAACGACCCCATTGTCTAACCGAGGAGCCCACACCCTGGCTGCGCCTTGGCATCCCGGGGAGGCTCTCTTTAATTCCACAGTTCCGATGCTTGCTCTCCATCCTCAGAGATTCAGATCGAATAGGTCTGGGAGGTGCCCCAGACATCAGTACCAAAATCAATCAATCAATCAATCGATCGATCAATCGCCCAGATATTAGTCATGTGCAGCCAAGTGGAGAGAGGCTGCCAGGTTAAAATCCACCTTCTCCCAGCTACTCCCTGAACATTTGGAAACAACAGCTGACAAGGTGGAAATAGCGGTTGATGCTCCTCTTTATATGCACTCTTTTTCAACTCTTACTTAATGTTCAGATAATCGTGTGGATAAAGCCATCTGAAGATGGGAAAGCTGCTGTTATCCCACCGTGGGGATGCGGATGGGGAGTGGAAGTCCAGAAAAATGGGAGAGTTTGCTCCGCAGCCTAGGCCACCTGTGGAGCCCTGGGGTGGGGGAACTCACCTGTGGTATCGAGAAACGCCACTCCCTTTCCCTTCCTTTCTTCTCCTCTGAAGCCGGAGGCTGGGAAGAGAAAAGGTGTCAGGAGAGAAATGGGAGACCCTAACCACTCTCCCTCCCCCCATTGCTGGAGAAGTCTGGGAGGCCTCTACTGCAGTGGTTCTCCGGTTTAGTGACCCTGACAATCACTGGGGACACTGTGAAAAAGTAGATCCCAGGATCCCTCACCTGAGATTCTGGTTTCCTTGGGCTGAGCGTGGCCTAGAAATGCAGAAGCACACATCTGAATAAATAGGCAAGCAATTCCAATGCAGGGGTCTAATCCATGCCATCCCTTTACCGGGTCGGGAAACTGAGGCTCAGAGAGGAGAAGTCACCCGCCTAAATCTGTACAACTGAGTCCTGGCAATGAAGAGGTCAGAACCTACTTCCTAGAGCAGCAGAGCAGTGACCCTTCCAAAATATCAGGCCACTTGGCTGTTGGGCAAAGTTCATGCTATCAAAGAAGAAAAGGTCAAAGGAAATTTTGAAATGTCACAGCCTTCATTTATTCTGGATTCATTCAACAAATGCTCACTGAGGGCCAAGCAATATGCTAGGTGTTGGGTATAAAGAGGTCTCCAGCTTCGTGGACATCACTGTCTGTGGCTCAGGTGGGAGGAGGGAGGTTCCCGTGTCATTACACGTGAGGAGTGTCAACACAGGGCAGCAGGATGCCATGAGCACCTCTGCCAGGGCCCCCACCTGGTCCAGGGGGATGGAGAAGGCCTCCCTGGGGAAGTGACAGAGAGCCAAGACCTGAAAGATCAGTTGTTCTGGATTCCATGTCATTTAGTCATGCCGCACTTGCTACTATCATTGCTGTAATGATCATTTTTCATGTTACATTCCGATGGAGAACGTGCTTTATGTCCATTTGATAGATGGAAAAACCAAGGCACAGAGAGGCCGAAAAATGTTCCCGAGTTACCGTGTTACAGAGAAAGTTGGGATTTAGGGCTGGCCTAGTTACCTGTCGCACCAAGGAAAGCCACTTTTTTTTCCTTCTTAACGTCTCTATTTCTGGACACTGAAATAAAAGTTTTCATGGAGGAAATAGTATTGCGGAAGCTCAGCCTCACACAATGTATAACATCCTTAAATGTTATCTAGTTCAAGAGCCCCTTTGAAGGATGAGGAAACTGCAGCCCAGAAAAGTGATGACCTGAATCCCACATCTGGCTGGTGGCCCTGTTCCCCTCTCCTGCTAGCCTCTGGCAACCACCTTTCTACTCTACTCCAATGAGTCTGACTATGTTAGATACCTCATAGAAGTGGTATCATGTAGCCTTTGTCCTTCTGGGATGGCTTATTTCACCCAGCATGACGTCCTTCAGGCTCACCCATGCTGTTGCAAACGGCAGGATCATCTATTTTAAGGCTGAATAATATTTCATGGTCTGTGTATACCACATTTCCTTTATCCATTCATCTGTGGATGGACGTTAGGTTTTTTCCCTGCTTTGAAAGTACTCTAATGAAGCTTAGGTCCAGAACTCTTCCTTGCTTAAGCCAATTAGGCCTTTCACCAATTATCAGGCTTTTGGGTTAAATATCAGAGCTTTGGGGTTAGAGGTAGGTGGGAGTTAGGAATCCCCTTGCTGGGCCGGCCCGGTGGCGCAGAGGTTAAGTTCTCATGCTCCGCTTCTCGGCGGCCTGGGGTTCGCCCATTCAGATCCCTGGTACGGACATGGCACTGCTTGGCAAAACCCATGCTGTGGTATAAAGTATAAAGTAGAGGAAGATGGGCACGGATGTTAGCTCAGGGCCAGTCTTCTTCAGCAAAATGAGGAGGATTGGCAGTAGTGAGCTCAGGGCTAATCTTCCTCAAAAAAAAAAAAAAAAAAATGGAATCCCCTTGTCTACAACAAGGCTGTCAGAGGTGGGGGATTCTGTTACAATAATAGCAAGTCTGAGACAGGCATTTCGTATCAAGCAGCCCTGCTCGCTGGCTTGGGAGAGGCTCGCTCTCTCCCGTCAGGCGCTCTGAGCAGCGTTTACGTGAGCAGTTTACACTGAAGCAGCTGCAATGAGATCTGTGGGAGCACCACCCGACCTTGCCTGTTACCTGACAAAGCAACAGAGTCCTCCACACAGGTGAGGGACCCAGATCATCTGGGTTCTGGATCCCAGGCTACAGGGATGCTGTAGCTGTGGGACTTGCAGGATTCCTATACCTGTCAAGCCAGAACGGTGGGCCCCGTGCAATCCTCCTAACAAAGAACATTCCTGAACTTCACTCCTTTCACCTGGAAAAAATTATGTCTACCACTTCTTTTTATAATTACAAACCCACTGGTGGATTTTGATAACAAGATTTGAAGTGTGAACCAAACACCCCTGGAGCATGTATTTCTGAATAGGATGATATTCAGAAGCATCTTCCTAATAAATTGTCAGAAAAATAGTATAAAACTATTGTTCTCTTTTTGGATAAAAAGACCACCATGGTAGGGGCTGGCCCCGTGGCAGAGTGGTTAAGTTCGCGCGCTCCACTGCAGGCAGCCCAGTGTTTCGTTGGTTCGAATCCTGGGCGTGGACATGGCACTGCTCGTCAGGCTACGCTGAGGCGGCGTCCCACATGCCACAACTAGAAGGACCCACAACGAAGAATATACAACTATGTACCAGGGGGCTTTGGGGAGAAAAAGGAAAAAGAATAAAAAAAAATCTTTAAAAAAAAAAGACCACCATGGTAGTATCTTTAAAATAGAAGGTATCTGACATTTTTCATATTTATTCATGCTTAGTGTTTTATCACTTTTTATCCTTTATGATTACCCAAGGAGCAGGAATTATTGTTCCCATTTAAAGAGGAGAAAATTGGAGGCTGGAATAGGGGAAATATTTACTGAAAATCACTCTGCTGATACACAAGATATTGGTATAATCGGTGTCCTCTGAGGAAGGGAGGCAGTTGGCTGGAGAAGCATTTTAACTTTATACGCTTTTGTACCTTTTGCATTTTGAGCCATGTGAATGTACTAATTAAAAGTAAATAAAATTTTAAAAATAAAGAAAGCATACCAAAAAAGCTATCCTGCTTGTTTACTAAAATGTTAGGAACAGAAACCCAGTCCCCGACTCCAATGTGTCCTTGGTGTTGCCATGCACTCACCATCTTGCTGCACGGCCAATTTCATACCATCAAAACAAAAAAAAAAGCACAGAAGATGGAATTATCATACGGGTGATGATGGCAAAAACAATACCTCCCACTGTGAAATCTTCTATTGCTAATAGAATGTCACAGTCTCTGCGCATTGAATAAAGTCATGAGGATCCAAGTGTTCCACGAACCGTGAAGCAATGAACAGCTCATAGGAACTATGACTATGACTTCAGAGCCTGAAATAGAGATACAGTCTCCATTTTACAGATAGAGAACATGAGCCTCAGAGAAGCCAAGGAATTTGCCCAAGACAGAGCAAGCTAGGGAGGAGCACCTGCTTAGTTACCTGTTTTAGGTAGGAAGGTGATAGTATTTTCCTTCCTGGCTTCTCCTTTAAGAGCAGACACTAAAGTAAAAAAATTTTCACCAGAGAAATTATAACCCAGACATGACATCAGAGATAACTTAATCCAAAATACCTACTTTAAAAAGGAGAAAATCGTGATCTGGAATGGTGAAGTGGTTTGCTTGTAGTTGGTTCACTCATTCGTTTAGTCATGCAATATTTATCGACCAACTACAATAACACCAAGGATTGATAATGTTGTTAATCATCTAGACTTTAATAGGAATTGTGTGTGTTAGACACTGGGATAGTATGATGAACAAATGGGTACAGATTCCATCCTTATAGTCTAGTTGGGAAGGCAGACATGAAGGAGGTGAAGACTCAAGGATATTATTACAAACAATGTTGAATGCTTTGAAGGAAACCGTCAGTGATCTGACAGTCTTCCCTGGGAGGTGATGCTCTGCTGAGATCTGAAGGGTGACTGATGTTTGAATAGGATGTAACTGGCTGAGGAGGTTTACAGTGCATGGATAACAGCATGTACCGAGGTAGGCAGGAGTATTACTTTAAAGAATGGAGAGAAGGCTGATGGTGATGGAGCATAAAAAATGAAGACGGTGGGAGATTGTAGGAACTGGCGATGGTGAGACGGGCAGGGTCCTGTGGAGCTTGTAAAGGACTTGGGATACTAGCCAAAAAGTAGTAGAAAGTCACTGAATAATTCTGTGTGTGTGTGAGGGGGCAGAAATCAGGGAGGAACTTGGAAGGTGACATAATGAGATTTGCGAGATCACTCAGGCTGGGGGGTGGAGAATGAGTCATGGAGAGACAAGAGGAGAAGCAGGGAGCTGATTTAGACGTCTCTCTTATTGGTCCAGCAAAGAGAAGACAACAGTTTGGACAAGAGCCGTAACAGTGGAGGTGAAGATTGTTCTGTTGCATAAATGACTCAAATGCAAAAAGTCAAGGGACAAAACCCGAAAGGGGGAATTTATTATTGCCATTTCAATCAAACTCATTTAGGACTCTGGCCTGAAACGCTGGCTGCTGCGATTCTCTAAAGCACAACGAATACCCAAACGTCGTATATAGAGGAGACACTCCTTGAACCCCAAGCAGACCCACCTGTGTTCCAAAGGGACAGGACACATGTGAGGCCCACACACAGCCTCACCGGAGAACCATGTTGCAGGGAACCTGGCATGTTTGTGACTCTGGCCCACCTGGAAGCAAGCAAGCAAGAATGACTTAGCACATTGATGCAGAATATCCTCGAGAACACTGCTGGGGAGTCGTTAGAAACACAGTCTGTAAAAGGCTTTGTACTAGTTAGGATAGGTTATGTCATACTGAGGTAATGAGTTAACTCCACAGTCTCCTTGGCTCAACTCAACAACAACAGGTGATTTCTTGCTTATAGTCCATATTCACTGCAAATTGGTGGGGAACTCTGCCCGCATGGTCACTCAGGGGCCCCGGTTAATGGAGGCTCCCCTGTCTTGTAGTTCTCCATCTGGTACCTGTGGCCTCCTTAGTCACTGGTTCACTGTGGCTGTGGAAAGGAGAGAGCTGGAGGATTATGCACTAACTCTTAAATGCTCTGGAAGGAAGTGATATGCTCATTTTTATTTACAGCCTTTGTCTGAATTAGTCACGTGGCCCTGAATAACTGAAGGGAAATCTGGGAATATAGGAGGCGAGGTGCATGCAATTCGGGAGCATTAATGTCTCTTCCGTGGGCTTCCTGGCTGTTTAGATGGGAAACATCCTCCAAATACAGCATCACTGCTGTTTACAGATAGGAAAATAATACAATAGAAGAGTGTATGTGAGAGTTCACACTCTCTTCCCTTCCCTGCAGCACTGTGCCAGCCATTCTTTTGGGCATTTGCCATGCAGAGTCAGCAGGAGAGTTAAAGTTGCAAGGCTAAGACTAACAAGAATAATGGTGAAAATTTACAGCGTGCTTTCTGCATGCCAGACACCCCACAGGATGCTGTCTGGAGCACATTATCACTTAATCACCCTATGTGTAGGTATTAATGTAATGCCCATTTAACATACAGGGTGCCCAGTCTTGATTTGAGAAGAGCATAAATTTGCCGTTGGTGGAGAATGGGACAGGTCTGGAAGGTGAATTGCGGAGGAGGAGAAAAGTGAGGAGAAACTTCACCGGAGTTAAGGAAAATGTCTCAGGAATTGAGCACCTTCACGGCAAGTTACATTTTAAGAAGCTCTGCTCTCAATTTGAGATGGAAATGCCTTTGGAATTCTCTTGAAAGATCCTGTAAACATTTAAATTGCTTTTTAATTATCCGTCGATACTTGAGCGGCATTTCTTCTGGATGCCACCCTGCACAGAGACAGGACTTAGTAGGGAGCAAGAGGCTGGCACTTTCTTGGAGACCTCTTGTTCTCATATATCTGTTTATTCTCTGAATCTCAGTTTTCCTCACCTGCAAAATGGGGACAAGAGGACGTAGCTCATAGGGTCTTTGTGAGGACTTAAGATAATGAATCCAAAGCATTTAACCCAGTGTCTGGCAGACAGGAGGTGCTCAGTGCACACATCAGTCATCACGCACAGGCTGGTGACACACGGACGGATCAGATATGCCCCTCCCCTCAAGCTGTTCAGCAACTTGGAGGAGATAGACACATGACCAACCTGTTCACACTCAAGGCCAGCTGTACTCATTCTCCGCAGAGAGAGTTACAATGGGGACTAAAGAGGGAGGGGCAGAGAGATAGAGACTGCAGTGTCCCGGACATGGAGTCGTCTCTATTAAAGGGGCTCTGGGAGTGGGCAGGTGGGCAGGCACTATGGAAAACTAAGTGAAGATTCTTTCCTCTGGCACCTGACCACTGTGGAAATATACCTCACCTTTCTGAGCCTTGTGTGTAAGAGGGGCAGAGTCGTAGCTACCTTGAAGATATTTTGGAAAGGTTAAATGAGATCATGAAATGTGGCGCCTAGTGCAATCTCTGGAGTATTCCTTTCTTGTTCTTTTTTCTTGTTCTCTTCTCTCCTCCTCCTCCCCTTAATCCTCTGTGTCCATCCTGAGCCCAGCATTATACCAGAAGCATATGGAGTGAACAGATACAAACGTACAGTAGAAAAAGAATTATCCATCTCTATGTAATAGACAGCCAGCCCTGGTGGTCTAGTGGTTCAGATTCAGCACGCTCATTGCTGCAGCCCAGGTTTATTTCCCAGACAGGAAACTACACAACCTGTCAGTTGTCACACTGTGGCAGCTGCATGTTGCTGAAAGCTATGGCATCAGCATTTCAAATACCAGCAGGGTCACCCATGGTGGACAGATTTCAGTAGAGTTTCCAGACCAGGGTTACTAAAACAACCCTTCTTTTCCATTAGTTTCCCCGCATTTACGTTCCCACAACTTAGCACCCTAGATGCTCAAAACCTTTTTCCTTTTTCTTGTCACTTCCCCACAGATTCATCATCCTTCTGTTAAAATGGCATACAAGCCTCAGGGTCCCACTGCTTCTTTGAGATTTTCATTTCATCACTGCAGGCCTCCCATACACATGTAAAACAGACATTTTTCTCACGTTAATCTGTCTTTTATCAGTTTGGTTTGCAGGGCTCCAACTGCTGAACCTAAGAGGGTACAGGAAATTTCTTTCTTCTCTAACAGTATAATTTATTGAGCTTCCACTTTGGGGTATCCATTATTTTACCTTCTCAAGCATCCCATGAGAGAGACACTGATATTCCGATTATACAAGAGAAGGACCCAGGATCAGAGGTGGAGCCTCCTACTCTTGGTCACTGGGCTCCCAGGCGGGACAACTGAGATTTGACCCAGTTGCTAAAGTCTCTCAGATACTAAGGGCTGTGTCTCTTTTCCACGGTGTTCTGCTCTACTCCCCTGCCTTTCAAAATACTATCCCAGAGTGCCACAAAAAGGCCTGATGTTGAAAACAAACAGAATTGATTATTTCAAGGTGTTTTGGTGGGCAGAAAAGGTTAGAGATCCAGTCACACTCCTGGGAGAAGGGCTGAGAAGTACTTTTGTGACTGAGGAGCCAAGAATCTGCCAAAGACCCTTAAGAAATGAATTCACCATGTATCAGTGTTTTATTGGCAAAAACCCTGGAGCTGGGACAGTGAATGGTAAGAACAAGGCTGCTGCAGCCTTAATTAAACATTTTGTTACTTCCAATTAGCAAGGATCACAAATCAACCAAGGAAACCTGCCTTTCTCACTATACCTTACAGCCAAAAGATGCCCAGTCAGAAACAGATTAATTACGATGCTCAGCGGAGAGCCAAAAACCCACCCTGAAGTCCCATCTTGTTTGGGCCGGGCACAGTGAGAGCTACGTGTTCTCAAAACATCACCATGGTCCATTCACTTGCAACCTCCCGTGTAAGAACCAGCTCCCTCTTACTGAGGAGGATGCAGAGGCTTGGGGATGCCAGACAACTTGCCCCAGGTCCTTAAAGTGGTGAGTGACAGCCCTGGACTTCACACTCGAGTATTCAGCCCCAGAGCCTGGGAGACAACCCTGGAAGGTGAGGGTCTGCCTTTTCAAAAATAGTTACTGCGGAAAAAGAAGTGAAGAATCTAAGATTTGCCTACCTTCCCATGTGCCAGGAATTTTGCATCCACTGGTCCTTAAAGCAACCCTACTTAGTGGTTATTATCCTTATTGACTAGTTCGAGGAAACCAAGGCTCATACAAGCATCTTGCCCAAGGGAAGGCAGCTGAAGAGCCAGGATTGGAACCCCTGTCTATTTGCCGCCAAAATCCATGACTGCTTGACCTTGACTAAGAAAATATAACTTTTTTTGCTGTTCCCTTGCTGTTAGCTGTTTTTTAGGGCGTTCTTTTATCTTCATTACGCCTCTTTGGATTAAAGATCATGTTTCCTTTATCACAGACATGAGGAGAAGCCATCCTACCAGCTGATGACTGCATTGCGATTCTAATCAATTACTTAAGGGGAAAAATGGAAGCCTGTGATCAAGGGGCGGAGTCTGAGCTTAAGTGCAATGTAGATACTGGGTGATAGAAACACCTCTCATTTCTTTCAGCAACTAGGTGCCCAGAGCTTGGGCATCACAGCGGATGCATTCCTTATCTGGCTTCATGCTTTGGGGAGAAGAGGGAACCAAAGGGTTTTAAAATATCTACAGGATATGACTTACCTGTCTCCTGAGCAGGATAAATGACTTCAAAGAATTTAAGCGGCCAGAAAGATTAACAGCTAAGTCAGAGCTGAGGGATGTTTATATGAGTCCTTAGTGAAAGATACAGAGGATGGGGGTGGGGGAAGTCTTGATAACTTTGCTTTAAATCCTACGGGAAAAAAAGGGATAATAATCCTCCCAAGAACTCAGGGCATTGAAACAGGATCAACTCCATCGGAGAAAAATCCTGTGCTATGGGCTGAATAGAATCCGTGAGCAGAATGACAATGCGCTGATTCACCTGGGATGGGAAACCTCTCCTGACAGTAATTACGGCGTATTGAAGGAGCAGAACAGGCTCGCCAGGTGATGATTTCCCCTTCCTGTTGTAAAGGTCTGTGAGCCAAGCATCACCTGGCATGGGGGCCAGCAGAAGTCTTCTAAAGAAATGGCTAGGCACAGCTTGTCCATTTTAGCAGGTGCCCAGAGCAGAGTAGGCAAGCCTGGCCCCACTACCTGTTGTTATAAGGCCTAAAATGGTTTTACATTTTTAAATGGTGAGAAAAAAATCAGACAACGAAGAATATTTCATGACATGTAAAAGTGATACGAAATTCAAATTTCAGTATCCACAAATAAAGTTTTACTGGAACATTGCCACGCTCATCCATTTACACACTATCCGAGGTTGTGTTTGCGCCACAATGGCAGAGTTGAGCAGTTGCAACAGGGACTGTCTGACCCACAAAGCCTGAAGAATTTACTATCTGGCCCTCTACAGGAAAATTTTGCCAACCTCTGCTATAGCAGAAGTAGCTGTCAGATTCCTCCTACTCGAATGATCCAAGTTCAAGGTTGATCTTTCTTGTCTGGGCTACTGGAATTCCTGCTGACATGTCACCCTGCTACCCCTTCCCTGAGTGAATTCCCCTTTTATGAGCCATAGAGAGTGTCGAGGGACCAGGTTCGTTTTTGCCTGTCACCCAGAAAGCCAATCACTGAGGCGATGGGACTGAAACAGAGAGAGAGAGTTTTAATCACA